TCTGTCTGTCTGTCTGTCTGTCTGTCTGTCTATCTATCTATCTATCTATCTATCTATCTATCGTATATATGTCTACCCATGTCTGTCCCTCTGTCTGTCCGTCTATCTTTCCATCTATCTATCTATCTATCTATCTATCTATCTGTCTGCCTGTCTGTCTGTCTGTCTGTCGTATATATGTCTATCCATGTCTGTCCTTCTGTCTGTCTGTCTATCGTTCCGTCCGTCCGTCTGTCTGTCTGTTGTATACATGTCTATCCATATCAGTGTTCATTTAGTCAACGAAGACGACGACAAAAAATATTAATTAACGAAAATTTTTTCTGTGACTAAGACGAGACGTTGATGAGCTAAAACTAATATCTGATGATAAAAACTATGAAATGTGCGTCCCTGTCAATGGATTGCAATCAGATAAGGGGCGTTTGCATATCTAGTCTCAGTATGGCAGCCGCAGTGGATGGATAGACTACCAAAACGCGAACTAGCGATCTGAAACAATGACCTCAGCACCCGAAGGGGTAGGGATAAGGTGACCAGACGTCCCGTTTTTCCTGGGAGTCACAATTCGTTGTCGATTAACTTAAGTTAGTGAAGGCGGGATAGGCGGAATTGCGCTGATAGAAGTGCTCTTTCTCACACACGCTCCACTTCAGTTCTCATATACAGCACGCGATCAGTTCTCAGGGCTCAAATACACACACAGCGGTCCAAATGTCTATTGTGTAGAGTATCTCACGTAAATACAGTCGGTTATGGATTAAGTGAACGTAAACAGGTGGGTGAAAACTGAACGTGTGTCAGTATTACATGCATGCCTTCAGTCTTAAAGGGACAGCATTCCTAATTAAGTACCTATCAGTGTCATTAATGTTAACCAACAAAAGATGTTAAATAAATGTTAAGTAAACCTACTGTATCTGAAAAAGGAGTTTAATTTGTATCTCTTTCGTTCTCGAGATACGCTCTATCTATCGTTCTATCATTCTATCGTTCTATCTATCGTTCTATCATTCTATCTATCTTTACACTTAATGTATGCAGTTTTTAATTTAACAAAACGTAAAATGTAAAATTTCAAAGACATAAAAAACTCACTCAGACAAAACATTTCAAATTATGAAAAAGTATTAATTTAATATTACTGTAACACCAGTTGGCTGATGTCACTTGGTTTGATATTTTGCATCTAAAACAGTGACATTCAGACATTGTCAGTGTGACTTAAGTGCCCGAAGGTTTTGGGTTTCTTCACATTTGTTATGTTAAATGAGTTCCAGATACAGATGATTTTAAATAAATTATTTGTTCAGCAGGCTGGTATTTCATCACCTTTTTCCCACGGTTTTTCAAGCCAGTTACCACATTCCATGCCGATTTGTTGATTGCTTTGGAATACCAAACTGATATTGGGAAAATGTCAGACCGACTGACACATTTGTGCTGACAGATCTGAAAGCATCACGCAGTGTGCTGTCAATAAGAGGTGTTCATTATGAAGATTCATTGGGGAGAACATGTTGTGCACAGATATTTTATTGCATTGTTTGTTTGCAGAGTTTCCTTGGATATATCCGACTATCCGCAGCCAGTTACTTACTAGCACAGTTTCAGCATTCAGGCAATAGGAACACGCACAGCCATTATCCCCATTGTTAATGATAAGCGTGGTTTAATGACAGACGAGACCACGTTTGATTAGGTTTTCTTTTTTCATTTTTCTTGCAGTAATTATGAAACAAAAAGAGCCCTAGGATCTGGACTGGCTAGTATTCATGAGGTGGCTTATTGTGTAGTATCATCCATGCAGAAAAGCGGTTGCTTACATTATCTAATCTAAACATAGGATGCTCTTTTGTTCTGCCCTTCAAAGCTCCACTCTCTAATAAAGCCCGTTCTATAACCAGTAATAGGGATTTCTGTTGTGGGGACACAGCCGCCAGAGCAAAATGAAGGCAATATAGGCCATGGACTTGTTGTTGCCAAAAGCACTGGTGCATGACCGACTGTTAGGGAGCCTTTCTTTTCCAGATTCCTTAGTACAGTGGCATCCAGCCACAAAAGGAGTAAGAACAATGAACCCAGGGTGGTTCTGGATTGTGACACTTTTTGGCCCAAGTTGCTCCTCTGCCCCACAGTTTGCAGAAAATGCTTCTAACTATAATCCGCTTAAGCAAGAATGAGAGCAGGGCTCTTTCTCTATCACTGTGTAGTTTGTGGTAACCGGGGACTGGTTGTCACACTTTTTACTCCCTTTGAATATTTCTCAGTGTGGGCTTATATTTGAAAGATTTCTGTATAGGAAACACATGGTGACCTTTTGTGACAACATGCCCCAGTATCAGAATGTGTTGCCATTTTTGATGCAGTGTTTTGTAATGTGCAAAATTAAGAAACTGTTCTGCCCTACAAAGGCAAAACACAAAACAACTTCACATTTTGTCCGAAAGGACTTGTGACCAAAATCATCTGACGCAATGGTCTTTCCTATAACAGATGAGTGTGTCTTAACTTCTCAGATTTAGAAAATCTATATAAAACCAATCAAAATTAAGTTAAAAATATTTTTTTATTTCTATTGTTGGCATATGTTGCCATTTTGCATTCATAAGGCAGCATTATTTTGGCCTACAAATAAATATAAGGAATACATTTTATAAATGTATATAACTATAATTTTTTGTTTGGAGGACAAATCACGAAGAGTAAACTAGATATTTGAATCCATGCTAAACCACTGCTAGAGAAAACACATTTGTGTACAATAATTGGACGGTAATCATTACCATGTAAAATGTTTCAAGCAAAGCACAGCACTGTCAATTAAGGCTATGAGATTAACAACTAGGTGATAGTTGGACATGCGTGATCAAGGTTGAGGAATCAACCTCACATGTATACGGATGGGGTTTGCGATGCATGTGGGCTGAGGCACATGTGCCTGGGATGTTCAGATGGACTGTCTTATCTCACTAACTTTGTAGCCAGTGGGAATGTGATGGGGGTCCGTTGATAACTCTTTCCTGGAGATTACCAGTATACTGTCATTCAAGCTGAACGAAGACTATCATCCATAAGAGAAGAGTCCTATCAGTGTATAACATGTTTTTAATCCATCAAACTTGATCTGTCTTCTTGATTTACATTCCTAAACCAGCCACAGTACATTTTGTATCGTATAACTCACAGGATTTTGATTGGACGTGAGCCGTGTGATGTTTCCCCATTGCAGTCCCAGGTCACTTTTTGACACGTACTCATTGGTAGAATTGACAGAGTCCTGCAGAGAGCTGTGTAGAGTTGCTCCTGCACTTTCCTGGCTCCTGCAGAGCCTGTCAATTCACAGGGCCCAGGGCCCTGCTCTTTCTCACTGCCGATGAAGGCCTCAAGCCCCCCATAGCCTGACGCCCCTCCTGCCCTGATCCTTGGCCCTCCATGTGCATTCCTGGAGGACCTGGGCGTCTTAGATATACAGCTGAGCGCCCCCGCCGACCCCGTGCCAGCTACGCAATGCCATCTGCCCAACATATGTTTGCATTCAGTCGTCTGCCTAGAGTAACGAACTGACTGGAGGCCAAAATACATACTTAGCTGCACGTCATTTTTGGTTAATGTCTTTTTTGAATGCAGTTGATTCTGTTAATTGATTTTCATGTCATTGTTAGTGCGGCTGTGAAAATAGTACTTCGAAAGTTGCTTGAACTGGTCCAGCATGTTGATCCCAGAATGTTTGATTCCAGGAACGGTGTGTCCATTTTTGGCTTGTTAGGGCCTTTAAATTGTCCATGTTCTACAGAGCTGAAGTAACATAAGTGTCAGCCCACAGCGGCAACAAACATGTCAAAGCGGGGAGCTCACAGAACCCTGCACGAGGTGTTGCTTATACAACATGGAGGCCCTGAAATCGAATGTGACAGGGCGAATTTGGCTGCTGCTGCGTGTGCACGCTGTGCTCAGCTGGCTGCTCTTTTCCCAAGAGCCTTTGAATCCAGCCTTCAAGCTGAGGCCTGGGAATAGTGCAACCTCATACATCAGGGGAGATCTGAAGTTGGCAGTTTCTGAGTTCCCAAATGAAGACTAAGAGCTGACCGGCAGAGGCCAGAAGTTCTTGAAACTCAACTACGGGTTGGCTGCTTTCTGTTTTTAGTCCTATAGAAAAAATATAATAGCCGTTTGGCAGACTGTTTGAAGAGTTGGCCTAGTCAGAAGGGATATTTCACCCAAAATGAAATTTCTGCCCTTAATTTGCTCAAATCAGAAGATGTTTTTAAGCAGTGTTTCGGCTGTTTTTGTCCATATAATGAGATTCAGTGAGGTTTGAAACAATGTTGGACCCCATTGACTTTCATTGTATGGACAAATAACAACATTTGTCATAAAATACATTTACATTTATTAATTTAGTTGATGCTTGTTTTTCCAAAAGCAAGAATGCAACATCAATTCATCTTAACGGGATAGTTCACCCATGAAACATGAAAATTTTGCCATCATTTACTCACCCTCATGTCGTCCCAAACCTGTATGAATTTCTTTCTTATGTTGAACATAAAAGATGATATTTTGAAGAATGCTGGTAATCAAACAGTTGATGGTCTCCTTTGACTTCCATAGTATTTCTTTCCTTACTATGGGAGTCAGTGGGAACCAACAACTGTTTGGTTCTTCAAAATATCGTCTTTTGTGTTGAACTCATAAAGGTTATACACATAAGAGGGTGAGTAAATGATGACAACATTTTTGGGTGAACTCCTCCTTTAAGGAGGCAATAGCATGTGAAGTTCTACCAAAGTTTCAAACATCAT